TAATATCTTATGATTATAAAGTAACAATATCACATGATATTGTAATTATATATTTTTTCGATGTATCTGATGATGATGAGTTGTATAAGAAAAGGTAACTTTTATTTTTTTTTCAAATCTCTATTCACTTAATTTAAAATTTAAATATGAGATCTCCAATTTAAAATCTCATATTATTAACCGTTGAGTTATCCTTCATGGTGTAACTATATTATTTTTAAAATATCTAAAATCTAGTATTTTTCATAAGTAAGGGTTTTAATTGGGGGATTCTCTACGTTTTCTACGTGACTAATATGTCCTTAATAAAAATTTAAGCATAACTCCCATAATCCATCTGGATTCCCTATTTCTCAAATTAATCTAAATTTACACTGTCTATTTCTTCTTTAAGTACAATTTTTGATCCAAATTCCACTGTTTTCATACCCTATTATCCTGTCAATTTTATCCTTTTTTCCATTAAGGTACCCGTGCCTGCCTACATTAATTTGCTGACTTTGGCTCACAGCTTGCTTTCTATGTCAGTTAGTGAACATAAAATTTCATCTAACAAAAATGGAGGAAAATTATGAAGGGGAAAGATATAGACTTATAATCTATTAGTGTAATATTATTGATTAAAATAGGAATAATAGAAATTGGGTTAAAAATGGTAATTAAAGAAGGAAGAGCGAGTTTTTAAATTTAAATCAATCAATTACCACATAACTTTTATTAAAAACTTAAAAAGAATATAGATTTTTTTTTAAGATTAAAAAAAAAATGAAGGACTATTTGGAGCCATTTGGTATAGTGGTTTTGGGACAGTGATTAGCGATTTTACCTAAATCGCTAAATATAAGTGTTTGATAAACTTATATATTTCGAAACCGCTACAATAAAGTGTTTGATAAAATTTTTATTTAGTGGTTTGAGACTAGCGGATAGCGGTTATGGTTCAAATCGCTAACGGATTAAAAAAACTAGTTTATGTAGTTTTTTGTACTAAACCGTTAGCGGATTATAATTTTTTAATTTTATTGACAAATTTATTCTTTTTAATTTTTTAATTTTTTTATCACATTTTTAAATTAATTTTTATCCAATAAATTTCAATTTTGTTTTTTTACCTTTAATAACATTAAGTGATTATAATATTTTTTTGTAAATTAATTTATAATTAAAAAAATATTATTTTAAAAAACAAAATTGTTAATTAGACAAAATAGAGGTGTATAAGAGACAGACACCGGCTGCATCAATGACGCCAGGGTCCTAGTTCGGCGGAACTACAAGTGGCCAGAATCCGACGCAGCGTTCATCCGATCAGTGAGCTCCAATAACGATCTCCGTTTGCATAAACGACGAAGTGGCCCCACTCCGACCGAACAACGTCAACCGTGGCGGAGGGGGCGTAATGGGCACCCGCAGTGCCCTGTGGTTGTGGTGGACAGTATCTCGTGCAGGCAGATGTACCTGAGGAGCTACCCGTTTTCCAGGAAGGAATCGGTGCATGAGAAGACCAAGAAGTGTTTTGGAAGACTAAAAGAAAGATTGCGGAGGAGGAAGTGTGGCGCCGTGCGGAGAGCGAAGGAGGTGTCGGGCGCCACAGTGGTTTCGATTCTACGAAGGTTGTTGTCTTGCACGGCAGAGTGCAAAGACCCGTAACGTTAACGCCGATCATGGAGATTGATTCCCTTATTTACTCTGATAATTTAAATAACTCAATATTATTAGGATTATATTGTCTTTCGTGGCCTTGGATGAAGAGAAATTACCACCATTTCTTCATCACAGGGGTTTTTTTTTTTTTTTCTTTAATAAGAAATAGGCATCAAAGTCTTAATTCTTAAGCATCGGAATTTCAAATTTTCTTAAAATGATTTTGTGAATACAATGAGGCTGTGTTCGAGATGGATGTTTGAGATGGTGTAAAATATTATAACGGTAGATTTTTTTTAATATTTTATTATTAAAAATTATATTATTATTTGCTAATTATTTTTAAAAAATTAAATATTAATATAATTATTAAATTATATTAAATATCAATTAAAATTAATTTAATTATAATAAATTAATACTTTTATAAAAT